GTCATCCGCCTTCGCGCTCTCGCGCCGCGTGACGGGCGAAGCGCGACTTGTCCTCGCGCTTTCGTGCCGCCCCCTGGAGGCGCATGGCTCGGCGGTCTCGGCCGCGAAGCGCGATGCACGAAGCGCGATCATGTTTGCGCCCCTGCGGAAAACCTTACTGCAGAGAAGACTCACTATCCGCTCCTGAACAGCCCCTTACTCAGATCCACTACTCGCAGGGGGTCCAGAGAGGCGTATGGCGCATGATCAAATGAATGTTATGAAGAGTCCTGGGCCCCCGATGAACACGATCTTTATACGCTTTGCCGAGTCTCCCTTGAAGTCTGGGACTCTGTCGTCTGGCTTCCTCAGAAGAACAGAAGAAGGCATAAGCACGAATTGTCAGAGGTCCAAGCGAAGCTCTTGGGCCAGAGCTGGACCATGCAGCGCGCCCGAGGTGGCGCCAGAGGCGCCGCCAGCGGTACGGAGAGGGGGTGCCCAGCGCCAACGCAAGAACTCTGCGCGGACCTGTCACAAAACACAGCCATCGCGCTAGCACAAGGAAGGCGGAACAGGGAACGAAGGGGGCTGTTCTGGCCACTGGCATTATTGGGCACGGAAAAGTTCGCTCCCCGCCCTAGATCCGAGGATCGGCCCGAAAGCCAGAGCCCCTCCTGGGCACAAAAAATGGTCCTCATTTCACGGTCTTGACTGTATGCTGATGTCGGCTTATCCAGCGACTCAGTTCCTTCGAGACCTGGGCCACCAGACCTGTCGAACACTTCCCCAGGAACGGGCTTTCGCCCTGAGCCGCTGTGAGAGCACTCCGCCCGGACCCGAAACTGGCCTCCGGAGGCTCTCGTAGCTGATTTTCCTGGCGCGTCCTGGCGCCGGAGGAGCCAGTTGTATCGAGAAAGGTGCGCGGCGGCGGCGCCGAAACCAGCTGCCGAAACCAGGCACGGAGGGTAGCTGTCCAACCGTGCTCGGCTGTGGTTCCGTCTCTGCTGCCCCTCGACAGGGCCCTGTGCTGGAATCGTGTTCCTAGTTCGAAATGGTGGGCGTACGGGTCTATCCGCGGGAAAAAAGACCGATGGTGGTGATAAGTGTGAGTTTGCCCCTGAGCAGGGCCTGTTCTGGGATGGTGCTGATCATGCAGTATGTGATTGACCCTGTGCTGGGCCTTATTCTGGCACGATGGTGGTCAGTACGCGATGGCCCCTGAGCTGGACCTTGCTCTGGCATGACGGTGAACAGAATGGTCTTGCCCCTGAGCTGGGCCTTATTCTTGAATGTTGGTGATTGATCCGTGCTTGCCCCTGGGCAGGGCATTGTCCTGTAAAGTTGCACCTGTCAATGGTGTCTGTGCCGTGATGGGGTTGATCATTATGATGTTATTGCCCCTGAGCAGGGCCTTGCTCTGGCATGTTGGTGATCAATGTGCCCCTGAATATAATCCTGTGCTGGGCATTGCTCCAGAGCATTACCCTATCAGTTTTGGGTGTCAAAGCCTATCCGCCACTGAAGGCCGCTGGCAGTGATCAGTATGTAATAGCCCCTGGGCAGGGCCCTGTCTGGAATGGTGGTGATCATCCTGGAATGGTGGTGGTCGGCACGTCCTTGCCCCATTTTGGGCTGTACAGGCATATCCGCGTGTCTTGACCGCGGGTAGTGACCAGATCGTTACGGCCCCAGTGCAGGGCCTCGTAAGTAAATAACTGGTTGGATGGTCTGCAGCACCGTATTGGCAGACTACTCTCAATCGTTTTGTTGTCGTTGACCCGCAAGTCAACCCGTGTCATATTCCTTGTAGAAGTACCACCCCCGCCAGCAGATGTCGTACCCCCCCTTCCGTTAGATGCCCCCTGTGGGGGACCTTTCTGGAGCCACTCGGTCCACTCATGCGTCGATGCTACATCCAACTTGAATCGAGCTAGAGTCGAGCTAGATTCGAAGTAGAGTCGAACACATGCATGAGGCGGGCCTCAGGAAGGTCACCAAAACGAGCATCTCATGTCCCGCCCCCCCTTTCGTCCGCCTCGGCTTGCGTTATTCGGATCCTGCACTTCTTGTCGCGGGACACGAAGAAAGCCGCCAGGCGTCGAAGCCGCGACCGCCCACCAGGCCGTGAGGCGCTCCAGCAGCTTCCAGGGAGGCACGGGCCCTTGCCCGAGGCAGGGAGGAACGAACAGGAGGGTTTCTAGGATTCCAGGTTGGCCTCGCGCGCGCCCAAAAAAGGGCACGAGGTCCAGACAAAGACACAATCGGCCATACAGCCTAATTTGAACACCCACCCACCCCCAATGTTTGCGACGCTGTCGACCCTGAAACCAACAGCAACAGCAACAAGAGGGAGAGGAGGAGGAAGGAGGAGGAGGGGGAGGAGGACGGGGAGGAGGAGGAGGAGGAAGAAAGGGGAGGAGGAGGACATCGAGGAAGAGGCAGAAGAAAGGGGAGAGCCAAGCTAGGTGGCCGTATGCGAAGCCCTACCCCTTCCATCCATCCCTTCCCCTTGCGCGGAGTTGTTCGCTATCCGCGGACGTGTGTCATAGCGGATATGGAATTCCAAACAAAACCATCGCGTTATGCGCAATCGGAAACGGGAAGCTGCGTTCGTTGGAGGAGGTGGCCTATGAGCAGGAGGATGAGCAGGAGGAAAAGGACGAACATGAGGAAGGAGGAGGACGAGGACGAACAGCAGCAGCAGCAGCAGGATTTGTTTTGACACTCGCATCAACTGATGAACCGATTCACTCATCAGTAAAGGGGGGAGACAGGACTAGACCTGACCAGCCCTGGGCCCCTGACCGCGTGGAAGACCGCGTGGACCATCGCCAGCACCAAGAAGGAGAGCACCTCCACAACCTTAGCGGCGGGGCTCACGAGGGTGACAAGCCCTCACAGCTGCTCTTAGGGAGGTGCGCGAGCGCCCGTCGCGTCCGCTCCCGCACGTCCACCTCCTTCGCGTCCAACGAGCACGATCCCCGCACTTCCCGCGGAGGAGACCCCACGTGCCACAGCCCACCTGCCAGGAGTGCGGGAGCGCCCGCCGTTCCCTCCGCGCCCGCGATGGCGATCCCCTGCCTCTTTTGCGCGACCGCCTCGCTCGCGCCGACGACGGACCCCACGGCACCGCAGGCCAACGCCCACTTGCGCCCAGAGGCGTGCCCCGCCCGGCTCGCCGAAGGCGCCGCCAGCTCAGCAGGCCGCGCCGCACCAGGGGCTGCCCCGGAGGCAGGCCGCCGCAGGCCTTCGGCCCGCTCGTCGTCCTCCATGTCCCGATCCACGCTCGGAGCAGCTGCCCCAGCCGCCGCCGCCGCAACGGTGCCAAGGGCCGCGGCAGGCGCCACGCCCTCCACTCCGTCAGCAACAGCAGGGCCGTGCGCCGCGCCACGAGGCGCGGGCGCCGTCGAGGTCGCCGCGCCGCCTCTGCGGCCGCAGCGGCGTAGGGCGCGACAGCCGGCACTGGGTCAAGAAGGGCGGCGGCAGGCTGCAGTTGGCGGCTCGCCGCACCCGAAGTGGGCTGCCAATGCATCGCCGAGCGCGCCAGCCGCCGGGGTCCGCCGCGGCGCCTTCGCACAGACTGCCCCGCGGACGGCGGCCTCCAAAGGGCAACCGCGCGCGCGAGGGTGTGTAGGCCTCGCCGCCATCCCGCCGCCGAAGAGGAAGAAGAGAAGGAGGCGGAGGAGGAGGAGGAGGAGGAGGAGGAGGAGGAGGAGGAGGAGGAGGAGGAGCGGGAGGAGGGGGAGGAGGAGGAGCGGGAGGAGGAGGAGGAGCAGGAGCCGCCGTGTGATCGACAACGCTGAGCAGGGACTCGTATCCAGAAGATAGTGGCTCGCGCTGTGACGAGAGCGCCATTCTGAACGACGGAAGCAGAGCGCCCAACCTAACATGAAGCCCGCGCTGCAGCGGCAGCACCATGTTGAAGATCCGAAAACGACTGGATGCATAAGAACACCGCTGAGATCAGGTGCAAAAAAAGGATACGCGGAGGGGGACGGGCGACTCCCCGTCCATCTTCGGGGGAGTGAGGGAATAGAATTCATATTGCGGAATTGTGGAAGGAGCGGAGGAGAGGATGGGGGAGGAAGGAAGGAACGGAGAAGGGCGAAGGGGAGGAAAGAAGAGGGGAGGGGAAGTGTGGGGAGGTGACGAGACGGGAGAGGGAGGAGAATGGAGAAAGAAGTGGAAGGGCAGGCAACCCCGTCCAGCCCGCACTCGACGCGGAGCGCTCTGAGAGCGCGCAACGGGACTGGCTACCCGGGGCCTCCTCCCGTCCGAGATGGCCTCGAGGTCCCCCCCACAGGAGGCGCCTTGGAGGGCGCCACAAGCCTCCTGAGGTCCCTGAGGTCCCCGGCTCAGCGACGTCAATGAACCACCTCACCGACCCGGACCAGTCCTATCGTGGGCTCCAGCCACGTTCGTCGAGGTGGCCAGTTGACGTCGCCGGACCTGGAGGCCTCAGGGCAAGTCAGGCAGAGCCTTGCATCAGACGGTGCGTGAGCAGAGGGGGAGAGGTGGAGGTCGCAAGAATGACTTCAGCATGTTCTCCAGGTTCCGACGGCCAGCTCCCACTCGCGTGCCGCACCGCCCTTCTGGAGGCCAACGGAGGCCCAAAGAGTACTAACACGCGTCCAAGAACTCCATTTCATCGGTGCTCGCTGCGGAGGGGGGAAAGGGTCAGAGCGCCGATCGCACCCAGGGTCCAGTAGGATGCTCATGACATACATATATATATATAGAAGATACACATAATCATAGAGAGAAGCCTCTTTCCTAAAGGGCGGAGTATTAAACTTGCGTGCGTAAGGCGGGCACCTGTGGTCGCTAGGCGTGCGTAAGAGCATGCGAGGAGTTCAAGGTATGGCTGCAGAAACACATGCTGAGTTTTATATATGGCAATTTGTTTGGCGTGCCTGAACGGGTTGAGAGAGAAGGGGCTTTAAAACGGAAAAAGGGAAATCCAAGGGACACACACACACGCACGCACGCACGCACGCACGCACACACACACACATACACACATACACATTCGGGGTGGCGGGATGGGCCGCAGGCCACTGGATACCAGTTGGACCACAGCGCGAGGCGGGCCTTGGGCACGAAGACCAGGAAGGAGAGAAAGCCGAAGAGGAGGGACAGAAGGAGGGACAGCAGCACCTCCGGCGCGACCTCCTCCTTCGGGCGGGAGCCCAGGGGCACGGCGACGAGGCCGGGCGGACAACAAAATGGGCTGAGGTGGAGGAGGAGGGAGAGGGGGATCGGGATCGGGCTCTTGGAGCTCAGACGTCTGGTCGATGTCATCGCACTCGAAGCTTGAAATCGCCCTGCGAGAACTCTGAGTGACGCGACTCTCCTGGCCGCCAGGCTTGCAGACGGCCCCCGGTCGAAAGAAGAAGAGGAGGCCGAGGAACAAGAATCAAGACGTGTTGCCCTCGCCGCCTTTCTGGAAGGCCCGCGGGGGTGTCACTGGGGCATCTTCGTCGCCACGGCCGGAGCCGCCTCGAAGTCCCGGTCGGAGCGCGCTCCAGCAGGCTCGCGGAGAGCACCCGAGACACCACCCTGCCTGGCCAGGGCCATCTCAGGCCCTGGCACGGTGTGCACGCCCTCCGCGGAGGCCAGGAGGGCCCGTGCACCTTCTCAGTTTTTTGGGGGCCCGCTCCACGGGGGCCGCCGCTTTTCAGGTCCGACGCCTTCTCGGCGGACCCCCGCGCGACGAAGAGGTGGTGAGCGAGCTGGGATCCAGCCTTGCTCTGGAGGGAGAGATCCGGCATGGGATCCTCGAGGCCACTCTCCCAACGGGGGGCGGGGCTGCAAAGGCGGGGCCTCACGCAGGCCCGAGAAAGCATTCCATGCACGCCATCCCGAGCCCAGGATGGCCCCGGCCAGGCACGGCGGGGGCGTTAGCCGTCGACCTCGAGGAGACTCTGCCGCAGACGGTCGCAAAGCCGCGCACGGGGCTGAGCGAGCGCGGAGGTGCGAGGGCAGGCCCTGCTGAGGCAGTGCACCCTCGCTACTGCAGGAATCGAACATTGATACAGGTCCACTTCTCCCCCTCCTCCTCTGACTGCTGCCCTGCCTGCTTTCTGGTCAAGGGGGAGGGGGAGGATGGAGATACGTTTGTTGCGGGGCAGTGGGATTGCACACCCCACCCTTGGGGAGGGGGAGGGGGGGGGGCGGACACGAGGAGCAGGAGACGCAGGACCCAGGTTCGGGCCATACCTCTGTGGCACATCCAGACACTTGGAGAAACCGCGACGGCACAGAGCCGTCGGAGAAGAAATCGCACAACAGCGCCTCGACTCCATGGTGCCTGTTCCCTTGTTCGTCCGGGAGATGGGGGGTGAGGGGAGCATCGAATACCACAAAAACTGCAGCGCCTCTCAGATACCCCAAAGCATACCGCCGACTCCCCGTGTAACCCGCCCTCGCCCTGCTCTTCCTCCTCATCCTCCTCATCCTATGTCTTCTAGTCCTCCGAAACCTTTTCCAGATCCTCCTCATTCCCCTTATCCTCACCCTCCGAATCATTCTCCAGATGTTCCTCATCCTCACCCTCCGAATCATCATCCCACTCCTTCCCGTCTCATACTCCCTGATTCCCCCTACTCTTTGTCCCCCTCCTAGTTCCGACCCTCCACCCCTCTCTTCAACGATCTCCTCCCCATCGTTTCCCTCCCCCATCCCTCCCCACTCCTCCTCCTCCTCCTCCTCCTCCTCCTCCTCCTCCTCCTCCTCCTCCTCTCCTCCTCTCCTCCTCCTCCTCCTCCTCCAATCCTCCTCCTCCCAGTCCTCTCCCTCTCCTCCTCCTTATCATCTTCCTCCTCCTGTTCCTCCTCCTCCTCCTCTTCCTCCTCCTCGGCGCCCCCCACACCATCATCAGCCGCAACAGCAACACCAACAACAATCATGTCAAGATTGTTCGTTCCTACCTGCAATCAATACGTATATCCCGAACAGTCGGTACCCACCCTCGTTGGTTTCGATCGTACCCCCTTGGTGTATCTCTTCCTTGCCTGCCCCGCGCATGCAGTGCAGCCCCTAAAGCAAGGGGCGAGAAGACGGGTGGAAGGGGGAGGGAGAATAATGGAGCACGAAAGAAATTACCAGGAGAGGGGCAAGGAACAGAAAACAAGTGGTATCACCAGACGGGCAGATCGGCTGGGCAGACCAATAGCGGGCAAGTCGGGAAGGCGGGCCCAGGCGACCAGGTCGATCAGGCGGGCTGAAGCGTGGGTCCTGCATGAATCGCAAGGAAATCTCGAGCGATAGCGCGATTCACAAGTACATGGTGAGACAAGCCAAAGCGAGAGCGTGATTCCTGAGCGCCGAGGGCGCGGCGTCTGAATAAATTGCGAGGAAGTCCCACGCGAGCGCACGATTCGTATACATTTCGTGAAGAAGTCCCACGCGAGAGCGCGGCCTGGGAATACATTGTGAGGAAGTGTCCAGTGGGAGCCGCTGTTGTTGTAAACTGGCGGCCAGGGGCGCAGTTTGAGCCGAATGGCTTTCCCCGATAAACAACAAGGTGCAAACCCCATGGGAAAGCATATCACTTGAAAAATACAATGGTTTCCGGAGGGGAGATCAACGATACATATTATTCAATAGTAGAAATTCAACCACAACAACAACAGCAACAGCAACAACAACACCACCACCACCAATAACAACAACATCGCCAACATCACCACCACCATCATCATCATCCTCATCACCACCACCATCACCATACCTTTCCTGACAAAAACCATGAGCATCATCACCGACATCACCAAACATATCACCACCGTCACAATCATCATGTTCTCCACCGTCATCATCATGGCCATCACCATCGACATCGTCAATACCATCAACATCACCACCATCATCCCAATCAGCAACATAATCATCGTCGTCGTGGGCAACATCATGATCATCATCCGCATCAACATTTCCATCATCATCAGCAAGACCAACATCATGATCAGCATCCTCATTTTCACCGTCGTCGCCGACGTCACCGTCCTCACCACAATCATTGTCACAAGAACAGCATCATCAGCACCATGACCATCACGTACAGCATCACCAGCATATTCACCATCATCACCATCATCATCATCGTCGCCGTCATCATCACCATCGTCATCATCATATGTAGTCGTCTTGCCTCGCCCGTCCTCGGGCCCGCACTGCCTGGCTGGAGTCGCTCCGCAGTCACCGGTGGCCGTCACACCCGCGCGGCGGGGGGCAGACACAACAGGGTGTGTCGGACCGTCGGGCAACTGTTGTGGCTACACAGCGCGGTCACGGCTCCCCATCAGAGCCCAACGACGCGCTGGCTCTGTATCTCTACTGTTCGTTCTACACGCAGACGGTATTCATCGTTATCCACCTTCGGTATCGGCGTCACTGCAGCGGCGGCGATGGATTTGAATTGATTGTCTGTCTATTATCGTCTCTGCCTCCCTTCCACGAGGTGCACACTCATCGCAGGTCACAATATTGGGTGGAGAACCACCTCTGCTGGCTGTGCTCCAACTGTCCCTCGTCCGCTGGCGGCGCCGGCGCCAGGCAGTCAACGGACTTGGTCTCTCCTTTTGATGCCACTGCCAGCAGCGTCGTGTGATTTACCTCGTGGGTTACTGGTGCGCTGTCTCGCGCTCTCAAATTGGCTACGAGCGCTATGTGTCATAATATTGTTTCGGGTTGCCGGGATGCACTTGTTGGCTACCTACCAGACCACCCCAACCCAACCCGAAGACCCGGATTTCGGGTTGGGGGGGTAAGGGTTCCACATGTGTTTTTTCGATGTTTCCCGCCCCCCCCCCCCACCCACACTGGAAATGGAGGGCAAATTTAGGCCTTCGGGTTGGGTTGGGGTGGTTTGGTGGGTGGTGAATTGTGGGGCATTGCACCTAGGAGCGCGTCATCGGGGAGTGTTTGGTTGAATGCTATATCGTGGAGTGTTTTATTGTGGCGTGCCTCGTCGCTGCGTGCTTCACGGTGGAGTGTTTCGGGGGAGTGCTTCGCTGTAGGGCATGTTATCAGGAAGTGCTATATCGTGGCGTGTTCCATCGTGGCGTGGTTCACGGAGGCGTGTTTCATCAGAGAGATGCGTGTTTCATCGTGGAATGTTGCGTCTTGGAGGGTTGTATCGTGAAGGCCTCATTGTAATTGTCATCGGGGTGGCGTGCTTCATCACGGAGGGATACTTCATCGAGGAGGGTTTCTTGGAGCCTGGTGTGCGGCATTGCGGCGTGTTTCCTCGGAGAGGCGTGCTTCAAGGTGGCGTGCTTCATCGTGGCGTGTTTCAGAAGGCGCGCTTCCTGGCGGCGTGCTTCGCCGAGTGCACGCGTGCTTCATCGTGGCGGGTTTCATCGGGAAGGGCTTTATCGACGGCGTCCTGGTCTTGGCGCGCTGAATTGTGGAGTGAAGTGATACACCGTGAGGGTTTCTTCAGGGGTGCTTCATTCCGGCATGCTTCATGGGACGCGTGCTTCACTGAGGCGTGCTTCATTGTGGCGTGCCTCAAGGAGGCGCATTTCCCAGCGGCGTGTTCGACGGAGGCGTGTTTCCCAGACTACTGTGTCTCAGGGACCGGTTCACAAAGGACTGCGTCGGCGTGGACTGCGTCATGATGGTGTGTTTCACCAAGGAGGGTTCCAGGTTTCGCGGAATGCTTCATCGGACGTGGACGGCTTCATCGTGAAGTTCTTCATCGAGCAGTTTCTCATCGGGGAGTGCTTCATCACGGGGGGGGCATCAGGCGTGTCTCGTCGTGTCGTACTTCATCGTGGCGTGTTTCCTGGAGGCGTGCCACAGGAAGCGTGATGCGCGGAGGCGAGCCTCATCAAGCCCTTTCTGTTGTGGTAGATGACTTCTGTTGTGGTAGATGACGTCCGGTGGCTCATCATCTCTGCAGTCGCCTTGCCTCGCCCGTCCTCGGGCCCGTACTGCCTGGCTGGAGTCGCTCCGCAGTCACCGGTGGCCGTCACACCCGCGCGGCGGGGGGCAGACACTACAGGGTGTGTCGGACCATCGGGCAAGTGTCACCGCGCGGTCACGCGTCCCCATCAGAGCCCAACGAGGTGCTGATCCTTAATCTCCTGTACCCCTACCAAACGAAAGCGGTAATCACGGTCATCACCATCCTCATCAGCATCATCACCATCATCATCAGCATCATCGGCATCATCCTCCTCATCCTAAACATAATCATGTTCATCAGCAGAATCATCATTAACATCACCATCATCATCATCGTCATCATCATCGTCATCATCATAATCAGCAGCAGCATCACCAACATCATCACCATCATCATCACCATCATCATCATGATCATCATCATCATCATCATCACCATCACCATCATCATCATCATCATCATCATCATCATCATCATCATCATCATCATCATCATCGCAATCGTCATCGTCATCGTCACCGCCATCCTCCTCATCCTCATCATAAGAATCAGAATAATCATCATAATCATCATCATCGCCATGCTCATCATCATAACCAGCATGAATAGCATGGTCATCATCATTACTACCACCATTATCATAAGTGTAATAATCGTCGTTACTGGAAACAGCATCATCGTCATCAGCAGCAGCATCGTACAGTAATTATCATCATCGGTATCATGATTATTCTTCTCCTTCCATTCACCTTCCCAACCCTTAATAAAACCTCGCGTCGTCCCTCCTCCTCCCTCCTCGACGACGACGACCACCACCGCCATAACCACCACCACCACCAGGACGACCCCCACCACACCGACCACCACCATAACCACGACGACGACGACGACCACGACCACGACCACGAGGACGAGAACGAGAACGAGGACGAGGACGAGGACGAGGACGACGACGACAACGACGAGGACACGATGGCGACGACGACGACGACGACCACGACGACGACGACGACGACGACGACCACGACGACGAACCCAGAGGCGCTGGCCCCGGCGGAAGGCCAGGAGGCCATGCTGGGCGCCCCTTGGAGCCACCTCTGGGCAGCACCCGAACGACGACGGCGGCGGCGCGGCTTGGGCCGCCCTCCGCGGCGGCGTCCTGGCCGAGCGCGGCACCCGAGATGGCCCTCACCTCGGAGCGCGGAGACCCTCCCACCGCAGACCCCCTGAGGAGCCGCTGGCCGCGGCTCCTCGGCAATGAGGAGGATCGAGGATCGAGGAGGCTCGAGAAACGAGGAGGCTCGAGGATCGAGGAGGATCGAGGAAGATCCAGGATCATGGCGTCTGGATGTAATCTTGAGGCCTGCGCAGGCCCCCTGGAGGCCACTGGCGACCTCTCGGGCACTCCCGAGCCGGCAAGAGGCCTCTGGAGGCGAGGACGACGTCGCTGGAGGCGAGGACGTCGTCATCCTCGTTGTGGGCGTTGTCGTCATCCTCGTCCTCATCATCGTCCCACCACCACCATCATCACCATCGTCGTCATCGTCGACATCATCATCATCATCATCATCATCATCATCATCATCATCATCATCATCATCATCATCATCATCATCACCATCATCATCATCATCATCAGCATCAGCATCAGCAGCATCATCAGCATAATCAGCATCATCCTCCTCATCCTCCTCATCCTCCTCATCATCAGCATCATCATCATCAGCATCAGCATCAGCATCAGCATCATCAGCATCATCATCATCACCATCATCATCATGCTCATCATCGTCATCACAGTGATAGCATCATCATCAGCAGCATCATGATCAGCATCAGCATCAAAAGAATCATCACTATGATCATCACCATAACCATCAACATCAACGTAAACATCAACATCAACATCACCATCACACTCATCATCATCATCATCATCATCATCATCATCATCATCATCATCATCATCATCATAGTTGTTGCCATCATCATCGTCATCATCATCCCAAAACCACCATCACTATCACATCACCACCACCACCACCACCCACCATCACCACCAGCATCTTCATCATCAGCAGCATCAACACCATCATCATCAATAGAAGCATCATCATCAGTATCATCACCTCCACAATCATCACAATCACCATCTCCATCACCATCATCAGTATCATCATCATCATCATCATCATCGTCGTCGTCGTCGTCGCCATCGTCATCATGACCATAAGCATCAACATCGTAACTGACATCATCACCATTAACACCATCACGGGTAACATCATCTTTATCCTCATCCCCATCATCACAATCACCGTGAATAGTAGCATAATCACCATCAGCAACAGCAGCATCATCAGCAGCATCATCAGCAGCAACAGCATCATGTTTGTGTTCATGACCAGTACCAAACACATAATCACCAGCATCATCATCGGCATCATCTTCATGAGCAGCATCATCATAACCATCACCATAAGCCGCATCATCATCAGAAGCATTTCAGAATCCTCATTATCGTCATAATCGTCGGCATCATCAAGATCAGCAGCAGCATCATCACCCTCATCATCATCATAGTGACCATCAGCATTATCATCATCACCATCACCATCAGCATCATCGTCATCAGCATCGTCATGACCATGATCATCAGCATCATCATCGTCCTCGTCCTCATCATCATCACCCTCGTCGTCGTCCTCCTCCTCATCATTTTCATCATCAGCAGCAGCAACACGATCAGCATCAGCGTCTCAATGATCACCAGCACCATTGTCGTCATCATCAGCATCATCACCAGAAGCAGCAGCAGCAGCCTCATCGTCGTGATCGTCGCCATTGTCTTCGTCATCAGCATCAGGATCATCATCATGACGACAAGCATCATCATCATCATCATCATCAGCATCGCAATCATCATCATCATCATCATCATCATCATCATCATCATCATCATCATCACCATGCCCATCATCATCAGCGTAATCATCATCCTTGTCCTCCTCCTCATCATCATCGTCATCATCATCATCATCGCGCTCGTCGTTGTCCTCCTCCTCCTCATCATCATCAGCAGCAGCAACATGATCAGCATCACCATCATCATCACCATTATCACCAGCATCGTCGTCGTCATCATTATCATGACCATCATCATCATCATCATCATCATCATCAGCATCGTCGTCATCGGCATCGTCGTCGTCTTCGCCATCATCAGGGTTATCATCAGCAGCAGCATCGTCATCACGACGACCACATCATAATCACCACCATCGCCCCATCATCATCATCATCATCATCATCATCCTCATCATCATCATAATCATCATCCTCATCATCATCATAATCATCATCAGCATCATCAGCATCATCAGCATCAGCATCATCATCAGCATCATCATCAGCATCATCATAATAATAATCATCATCAGCATCATCATCGGCGTCACCATCATCAGCATCTTCATCACCACCACCACCACCACCAGTATCCCCGTCCAACTATACTTCCTGCTGTTCTTCCCCCTCCCCCTCCTCCTTCAGCCTCCCTCGTGCTCCACGAACCCTCCCTCCCCCCTCTTCCCGCCTCCGATCCCCTCCCCTCCCTCATCCCCCTCCCCCTCCTCATCCTCCAGCCTCTCCTCCTCCCCGCCTCCTCCTCTTCCTCTTCCTCCTCCTCTTCCTCCTCCTCCTTTCAGCCTCCTCGTCCTTTCAGCCTCTCCTCCTTTCAGCCTCCTCCTCCTTTCAGCCTCCTCCTCCTCCTCCTCCACCTCCTCCTCCTCCTCCTCCTCCTCCTCCTCCTCCTCCTCCTCCCCCTCCCCCTCAACACTTTTCCATCCCTCCTCCCCCTCCGTGCGCAAGGACGGGGGGGAGGACGGAGGGGAGGGAGGAACGGAGGGGAGGAGGGAGCGGAGAGCGGGGAAGGGAATAGCTGGGACGGCTGGCGGCAGCGGGGAGCGGAGAAAAAGGAGCACGGTACAGAGAGGAGCGCTGCCCCCAAGACCTTTGCCCCATGGGCGGACCCCGACCGAGGCCACGAGCGGCGAACGTATCCGTGTCCGCGCCCTTGCGGTCTGGACTCCAGAGCGCGATCGCACGAATACGCCGACGCCCGGATACGCTCCGCGCGGGGCCCCCGCGAAAAAAACGCCCTGTGTCCGCGGGGTCGCGGCCCCGAGGCCCGGCCCGCCGCAGATACAGATATCGCCCACGACCAGGGCACCGGCTGGGGCTCCGCCTCGGGCCGGGAACTGGCTCGACCTCGGGCTCGAGCTCGAGCTCGCCCTGGAGCTCGAGCTCGGCCTCGGCCTCGGGCTCCATATTGAGCTCGGACGGGCCTCTGGCTCGGTCTCGGGCTCGGACTCGAGCTCGCCTGGCCCGCGTCGACGGAGCGAGGGCCCTGCGGGAGCCCCGACCGACGGCGAAGAGAGAGCGCGAGGGCCAGGCGACGGGGATCGGTGCGGCTCGGCCCTCCCCGACCGGCCACGGCCCGGGGAGCTGTGGCCCGTCCTGGGGGAGCCCGCCGCCAGAGGCCTCGCAGGTGGGGTCGGAGCAGCGGGAAGTGTCTGGCCGTTTTCGGCCTCCGGGGGCTCTCGCTGGGCCATGGGACCGCAAAGAACGGCTCGGGATGAAAAGCTGGCCCTGGGGAGAGGGTCGGCCCCTCTTGGGACAGCGAATGCAAGAAATGAGGACATCACATATCTGAGTTGAAGAGAGAGGGATCAGGGGCTTCTCAGAAGGCGGCAGGGCTTCTCAGAAGCCCTGCAGCCTTCTGCGGAGACGACTCTGTCTTCGGAGAAGGCTTAGAAAACTTCTCAGAAGGCGTGAGGGCTTCTGAGAAGCCCCGCCGCCTTCTGAGAAGGACCGCCACCTCCCATTTCCCACCCAGGCTCACCGCCGATAGGATGGGGATCGGAGGATCGTTCCGAATCATCGATGCATCCCCGATACATCGGCCATGCACCAACGACGTCGGCGATGCATCGGCGACGTCGGCGTGGAGCACCTCGAGCTCCACACCGAGCCGTATCGGCGATGCATCGGCGGTGCGGCGCGACCCACCGAACCCACCCCCTCGGACCCCATCCAGGCGGCCCAGGATCGCAGCGACGGCCTCTCGAGGGGGGCGTCGGGAGCACAGCTCCCCCGGCTGCGGCGAGAACGCCCCCACCCCCACCCCCGCGGGAGGGGGCAGGCACCAGGGCAGGCCGCCGCGCCCGCAGGGGCCGGCGCAGAGCCGCCGACCGCCGACCGCGGGGGGAGGGCGCGGTGGCCGAGGCCCCCGCCCCGGAGGTGGCCGCCAGGCCCACCAGCGCGCCGTGGACGGCCGGCTGGGCGGCCAGCCAGTACACCGTGGAGTTCAGGGGCTCGGCCACGGCATCGATCATGGCGGGGGAAGGCTGCTGGAAGGCATCCGGAGGCAGGAACAGCGGCAGAGGTCCGATGACAAAAACGCCCGAAACCCTCGGTCCTCGAACCTCGAGCCTGTCGCCCTCCCCTTCCTGCCTCGGGGTGCCTCATGGGGTGGGGGCCGCGGCTGCTGGCGGCGCGCACAGGGGGGAAGGGGGGGTGTCACGGCAAGGGGGGGCGGGCCCTTTCGGAGAGCAAGCACCCCGCCCCTCGGGTGCCCTCCCGCCTCCGGGAAGCCCCCGGAACCCGAGAACGGGCGGTGGGCCTCCCGAGAGAGACCCCTGCCTTCTGAGAAAGCCGACATCCCACCCCCTCCCCCTGGGGGGGGGCAAAAAAATACGGACACTGATGCTCCCAGAAACCAACCGGTGCGCTCTGGCCAGAATTCCAATGCGCATCTGGTCCTAATCTGGCCGTGGCGGCCCCGCAGGGAGCCCGAAGATGCGAAAACCAGGGAAGGGGACTGGCATCGATAAGCCCACAAGCCCTCTAGGGCGTGGGTGGTCTGCCTAGCTCGTTATGCTACCCCCCTGCTTCCCCTATACTGAGTTCCCCTTCACCCTGCCAACTCCCCCTATGTCTGCCTCCCCCCCCGCGAGGTGTAAGGACCCCAAGGCGGCCTCAAGAGCGCTCAAGACCACCCCAAGGGCGGCCCAAGAGAGCCCCACAGGCGATTTCGGGCCCCGGCGGGAGGGCCGTACTTGAGTACCCCCCCGTGTTTGACCGGTGGCTTCCAAGATGGCCACAGGAGTGCCTCTAAAGCCTCCAACAGGGCCTCCAGGGAGCCCCAAGAGGGCCCCAAGAGAGCCTCAACAGGCCCCCAAAGCTTCCAAAATGGCTCCAAGCGGGCTCGAACATGGCTCCAAGAGGCATTCCAGAAGCACCTGGAGCGAAAGACCCGTAGGCAACGACAAGCAACCACTCAACCAGGACAACCACGAGGAGCAGTGAAACGCACGCAACGACGCGGCGGACGCCACTCATCAAGCGCACAGGGAAACTGTGACTGCTTTGGTTGAGGGGTTGCCTCACGTCGTTCCCAGATCAGGGCAACTCGCCTGGTGTTTGATGTTCAATGTGTTGGTGGGGATATGTTTGGTCAACAGGCTCGCGAGGCGGGTCGAAAACCGTCCGAACACCAGTCGGGCCGCGACTAGGCAGCAGGAAAAGAAAGGCAAGCGAAGGTTGGTGGGGACACGCGAAGCGTCAAGAATTATGAGTCCCTCCCCCGATGACCACATCTCAAAGGAAGCCCCGAAGAGGTCGTCAGGCCAGTGGTTTGTAGGCCCCCACTGGAAGCCCTCCAAAAAAAACATGTCAAGAAATAGTTATCTGGAAGTCACCCATTGGCACGCCCGAAATGGGGGCGATAACAAATTGAGATGTATGCCAAATAGGAACTGTCGCCCAGAAGCGACAGCGGCTGCTGCTGCAGGCGACGTCAATTTCGAATGGACGACGTCCGCAGCGACGCCGACAGCGGGTCCTGCTCAAGATTGGCAGGGACCGAACGCACGCTCCACGATATGGAGGAACACAAAACAACGTAAGCATGAATCACCAGAGCTTCGCGCCGATTGCTTGGGTCAGAGCCGGGCCCCCTTTCCGCTGCCACGCGACGCGCGCCGGGGTGGCGCGCCAGAGCCACCGCTACTAGGGGGCGCCAAGCGCCAGACCCGAGAGATCCGCGCGGACCGCCGAAAGCAGATGTTTCTGCAGCACTTGTTTGGTCCTGTATAGAGGTCTCCTGGATGGGGTCCGAGTAGATGGGGCCGAAGGATCGTGCCGCATCGCCAATGCATCGCCGATGTATCGCCGATGCATCGGCGATGCATCGGGGACGTCGGCGATGCATCGCCGACGTCAGCGTGGGGAATCACTGGCTCCACAAGTCGAAAACAAGCTGGTAAGCTTAGGTATGTGTTACGCTTTAAGCGTTGCCATATCCCAGGCTTTGGCTCATATCGCATGAGCAAGAGAGCAAGACGAAGCATGGGATCTGGAGTAAAGGATAGGATGGGCATCGTCAATGGAAAAATTATTTTCCGATCTCAGATACAAGTCGTGCGCCTCGGTGAGGCACAATCACATATTTGGCCGGGCCCGGCTTGAGCCAGGCACGGCAGCGGTACATGCTCGATTTATACCTCGCCTTTAACCTTCTCCGTTTAAAGTCGGAGGGGGAGGAGACGAGCAGGCACCGCACTTCTACATTACGCGGAAAAACAGTGCTAAGCAGCAGCGGCTGCCTACAAGGCAAGGGCGCGCGAGTAGCCTCGCTACCGGCGAGTTTCCTCGCTACTAGAGCGCACCTGCACGCGGGTTTCCCCGCTAGCTCGGGAGGCAGGGCCGTCCTGAGACGACCTGCCCGCCCTATACGGTGTATGTTTCTTCAGCTCGTGCTTGAAGGATTGCTGGCCGGCCATTACTTGTAGGAGCAACGCGCGGTCAATACTACCTTTGGTATGACCATCGGCAGTCATATCCCGCGTGTCACACCATTGAACGCTTTCAACGATTCCGCGCTCCATCATCTGGCGGATCCAGCTAATGTGCCCAAGCAGAGTACATTCTGTGGGCTTCTTCAGATCTTTGCTAGACAAAGACTTGAAGACAGACTCGGCATCAATAGTCAGAGTGACTTTGATACATAGACCACCCATTTCCAATATGTTCTTTAACTGTGTGGGGGTCAATGGTCCCGAGTGTAGCTCGTGGAGCGTTACAATGGTCGGGTAGCAGTCTTCCAAGTTGTGGGCTGCTGCCAGTGTTTCCGCAGAGTAGCTCGAACGCACCTGCAGTCGATGAGACTTGCAGTATGCGTCCACCAGGTGCACGACGGGTTTCCCCGCTTGCGTGTGGCCACGCCTCAGCAGGTTAGCCCCGCGGATACCATAGCCTTTGACTTCGTCGTCTTCATCTCCATTGAGACGGCGATAGCCAGAATCGCTATGCAGGTCAACTTCTCCTGTTGGAGTCATAGCTTGATACACGATCTTCTTCGGACCTGCCTGTAGTTTCCTGGTAACCGCGTTTAGTCGTCGTACCTGGATGTTTGTCGGTTCCTGGATACGTTGTAGTGAGACAACATAGACCATCAGCCATACCTGCGTGATCAACGCATAGGCTAGAGCGCCACGAAGACTGACGAACATGTCAGAAATCGTCTTTGTCGCTTTGCTCTCAGGATCAGCTCCTGTGAGTTCTGGATGTGTGATAGGACGGAGCTGTTTGATGTATTCGTCCTGATCAGGAGTGACGCTCCCATCATCGGTCTTGTTGTACCGAACGGCACAGTTTGTGTATGTATGCTTGTTCAGTTTGCACTTTCCAAACGTATCTTCAACACACTTGACATACTTGTCAATAGCATCTTCCTCCCCGGTCATATTGATGTCATCAACGTGTTTGGCTGTCAAGAGGTTTGGGCTCATCTCGAACTCTTCGTCGTATGAAGTAGGCTGTAGCCCAAAGCTCCTAGTGATGGACCTGAGCTTCAGCGAGAATGCCCTGGGAGCATCCTTCGTGCCCGTCCCCGGCTTCAGACACCGAAGACAATGCTTTGATTCGTCATATGACTCAAAGCCTGGCAGTGTGCGAAGGACAGCTGCTGACCCAGGAGGTAGTGTGAAGCACACCACACGCTCTTTCTCGCCCGTTGCCGCGGCAAGCTCGCTATAGGTCAGTCCCTTCAAGAAAGCCATGTTGATGTCCAGGGAAGCGATGATCCAAGCTTTGTTGCATGCAGCAGAACTTGCGAGCAGTCTCTGGCTTGACCTCCTTGCCGTGCCAGAGAAGGTTTCGACATCAAAGGCTTCAAGGTCCATGAAGCCACGGAGTACCAAGCGTAACCTGATCGCCCTTTCCATTTCGCCCTTTTCGTTCTTGACAAACTTCCATTTGTATACGTAGCGTGACGTCATGATGTTAGACGCTTTGCTCAAGTCAGTCATCTGGAAGCATTTGTTGTCAAGCCAAGTCTTCAATTCTGTGTAAAGGGCTTTGGAAACTTTGACCGGATTTGCTTGGATGTCGGCCTTCGTGAGTAGATCGTCTTCCTTGACGACCACGGCACGTTTGGAAGCAGCACTAACGTATACTCGCATAGTTGTGACGCTGCTGTCATCCAACAATCGGTGTTGCTGCTCGGACAGGACGACTTTGGACATGTCTGCTGTGAAGCAGAGCTCGATGTACTTCCCGTGCTCATCGGAGTCCAGATCATATTTGCTATCCGGATCCGTGGAGCATAAAGGAACGTAGTAAGAAGTGTCCATGTCGTATCCTGGCGGGTGACCCCGCTCCGGCAAGTGGCCTTGCACATCTTCACAGGTCGTAGAGACTAACACACACTGTGTGTCTGTCATGTATGTGGGAACTGCATGCATGACTTCTTCTGTGTCAGCTTCAAGGAGTGTTCTGTCATCCATCAGTTCAGCATACCACGACTTCAAGACAAAGGCATCCAGATCTTCTTCTGTTTCCTCTATGATGGTCGGGAGCCGACCATCGTTCTCCGTGGGAGGCTCCTCAGGAGCAGCTGCTGGAGGTGACTCGCTTGGTGGTGGACCATCAGCGAGTTCCTCAAACTTAGTGAGGTCTCGGTCAAATCCAGCAGACGGCTTCCTGGATTTAAGACACTGGATGATGCGTGAGTGTGTAGATCCTGTGATGTCGTAGATGTTCAAGGCAGTGCCATCAGCTTCATAGTAATGAAAACCAGGGGTCACATCATTATCATAGTGCACTAGTGTACAGCTGTCTGCATAGGGTGCAGCAGGCAACTTCGTCAGGCTCTTGGCAAGTCGTACAGCAACAACGTTTTCAATACGAAAGTAGTTGCGTATGAGGTACTGAAGAGCCAAGTGCACCTTAGGCGAAAGTCGGCTCGCAGCAGTCATCTGCAGCCGACCCTGTTTCGCTGGTAGATATCCGAAAGTCATGGCGGGTTTCCCCGCTGGCAGACCGGCAATAAAGGCCAATACTGTCCGAA